AAGTAAAGGTCACCTTCAAAAGAAAGGGCAATTCCCCCAGGTGCCAGGCAACAGGGTCAGAGGGTTCGGTTCCTACCTGCTTGCCTCTCTGTCTCTCGTGAAGTGCAACCACCACTCTGCACTAACTGCACATTTTCTGGAAACATTATTATTTGGCTTTGGAGCTTCAGCGGGCCTTCTGAATCTGGGTAGACCAGGCTGGCCTTCATAGTGGTGATCCTCCTACTGTCCAGCCCAGGGACTTTTAGAGGGCACTGGGGAAGGGAGATCTTTCAGGGACATTCAGGAACTCAGTAGGCGGAAAAGGGACAAGGGGAGGAGAAAGGATTCCTTCAAGAAGTAGGAAGATCAAGTTTCTGGTGGGTGTTTGAGAGGCCTTGGACATGGGTGGGTCCCCCTATTCTAAGAGGAAGTCTGGGAGGGTTCCTGAACTAGAATTCAAGGGCTGCATTCCTACGGCGCCCCTGGATTTCAGGGTCCGCGGTGAACTTGTAGTGTATGCAGCAGGCCTTGGTTTTCACAGCAAGAGTCTGTGACAAGTTTTTTTTTAAAAAAATATTTATTTATTTAGTATACAATATTCTGTATATAATATTCTGTCTGCGTGTATGTCTGCAGGCCAGAAGAGGGCACCAGACCTCATTACAGATGGTTGTGAGCCACCATGTGGTTGCCGGGAATTGAACTCAGGACCTTTGGAAGAGTAAGCAATGCTCTTAACCGCTGAGCCATCTCTCCAGCCCCCTGTGACAAGTTTTGAGGGAGAATCTGAAGGGCTATCTTGAAGATCCTAGCTGATGACATGGTATCAGCGCTCAGGGGGCTGACGCGGCAGGATTCAACATTGAGCACGGCCTGTCTCAAAAACCAAAGCAGAGCTCCCGAGAGGCATCTCTTCCGGAAGACCTGGGTTCCGTCCCACCACCCACAAGGCAGCTCACAACCATCTGCAATTTTAGTTCCTGGGGTCCAACAACCTTTTCTGGTGCACATACACATAAGCAGGCAAAACGCTCATACACATAAAATAAATGCGTCTAAACAAAGCAAAACAAAGCCAGGCGGTGGTGGCGCACACCTTTAATCTGAGCACTCGGGAGGCAGAGGCAGGCGGCTCTCTGTGAGTTCCTTGACAGTCAGAACTACACAGAGAAACCGTGTCTCGGGAAACAAACAAAGAAACAGACAAACAAAAGCAACTAACTAAAAAAGTTTCCAAGAGGGGTGATTTCATACACTTAGGAGGGGATCTGGTCAGAACTAGGAGCATTTTTTAAAAGGAGTTGGCTGGTGATGTTACTGGGGAGTCCCGTAGTAATTTCGGGAGTGACTGACGTGGCTCCTCTTGGGAAAGTCGCCACAGGCAGGGCGTACCTGGAGTCGTGCCTCTCGGGACACAGCTGAGGGCCACCGACGACGAATGGCGGTTGCGAAGGGCGCAAAAGAGGCGTGCTCGCACGCGCCTTTCCCGCCAGAAATGCAAATGAGCGGGCCTTCCTCAAGCCCCGCCCCTCCAGGGGCTATAGTTTTCACGCAGGCGCATACCAGGTCGAAGATGCTAGCCGATCCCTTACCGTGAGCCCAGAGCTGGCGCGTGCGTAGACTATCTCGGGAGAATCGCTTAGACCTGAGCGAGCGCATGCGCAGTGATGGAGCGAGCCTTGGCGCTAGACCACCGGCACAGGATCTTCCCCTTCTGCTTGGCGAAATAGTGGGGTAGGGTTTGACTGAAGGACTTCCTGTTTATCCCTAGCTTCCCGTCAGTCACAGAACCGAGTCCTTTCTGTCTTCTCTTGGGTCCAGCCCGACCGCTACCGTCACAATGATACGCAGCCTGATCCAGCTCACTTCCGCTCCATGCCCTCCTTTGGCATTAATATGAACCCAATCTTCCTTCAAAACTTATAATTTATTTACTTTCTTATTTATTGAGACATTGCCTAGCTATTTAGTCCAGGCTGGTACCTTGAATGGAAATTCAAGAGGAAGGAGGGCTTTTTTTTTTTTTTTTAAACCCTATGGCAGTGTAGAAGGAGCAGGTGACTGGACTAATTCCAAAGATATTTGGAACAGAAGACTCCAACCGCTCTTCTGTTTGCCACTTCAGAAACCACGGCAAAGCCTCCTGTCGCACTTTCCTTCGCCTCTGGGTCTGCTTAATCTGTTCAGGGTCCATCAAGTAATATTCGTAAGCACCGCTCCAGGGTTCGGGAGCTCTACGCAAAATGGGCACTAACAGAATGACGAGGTGCTTAACATTTTTTGTTTAATTGGGCATTGTCAGGGTAGGACCCAGCCATGAGTCTCAATAGAAGCCTGGGTCTCAGTAGTTTGCCCTAAGGCAATACCTGATTCCAAGAAAGACAGCAGAGACCACCCAGGCACCACCCAGGAACAGACCATCCAAAGGAAATTCCTAGCATTCCAAACGTTGTAAATAGGATCACCTGCCAGCACACACCCATCGCTTTTCACCAGGACACCCCTAGACAAATGTCAGTCAATCAGGGGTCCTGAACCTTAGAAATCCCTCACCCCTACCTCTGCTATTATAAAAACCCCACCCCAACTGAGCTTGGGCTCTCCAATTACTCCTTTATCGGGGAGTCCGAGTTCACGAACTTGTGTAAGAATAAAGGTCCTTTGCTTTTACATACAGGACTTGGTTTTGGGGAAGGGGGGACTCTGTGATTTGGGCATAACAGTCAGTGCACAGGAGGCAAGGGCAGGAAGACAGAGGAAAGTGAGGTCAGCCTGGTCTACAAAGTCCTAGGTTGGCCCAATTACATAGTGAGATTATCAAAAAAAAAAAAAAAAAAAAAAAGCTGGTGCATTGATTCAGCAAGTGAAGATATTGTAACCCATCCTGGTGACCTGGGATGAATCCCTAGAACCTACATGGTGGAAGGAGGTCCTCTGAATCCACGTCATACTATGTCATATGTGTACCCTCCTCCCCTTTGTTTAAAAACACACAAATGCAATTAATGATAGGAGCTGGACATGTAGCTCAGCTGCCAGTGACTTGGGCATGGTGGTGGGGCAGCACTGGGGAGGCAGAGGCAGGTGGTGGGGCAGCACTGGGGAGGCAGAGGCAGGTGGTGGGGCAGCACTGGGGAGGCAGAGTCAGGTGGTGGGGCAGCACTGGGGAGGCAGAGGCAAGTGGTGGGGCAGCACTGGGGAGGCAGAGGCAGGTGGATCTCTGTGAGAATGACCTTTGCTTCAATCCTGCTTTCAGCGCTTGCATGACTTCCTTGCAGTGCATGTGATCTGAGAAACATGGGGACAATGAAATAAACCCTTTACTCCCTGAGCTGTTTTTGATCATGGTGTTCGTCATAGCAATAGAAAGCAAACGAGGACACTTGATCTTGAAAAAAAAGGTATGCCAACTGTTTTCAGCACAGGTTGTGGGGCATGGTGGACACTGTTAGCTTTGTCAGTATTTATTAGCAGAATTTATTCCTGGGGCTGTAGAGATAAATCAGTGGTCAAGGGCAATGGCTTTGTTCCAGAAGGCCTGGATTCCCAGCACCACATGGCAGCTCAGAAGGTCTGTAACTCCACTCTCCACAGCTCTAATGACCTTCTTCCTGACTCTAGGCACATATATGGTGCATAGACATACATGCAGACAAAACAGTTATACACATAAATTACAAATATTAATCTTTCAGCCAGGTGGTGGCAGTACACACCTTAATCCCAGCACTCAGGAGGCAGAGGTAGGCGGATCTCTCTGAGTTTGAGGCCAGTGTCATCTTCAGAGTGAGTTTCAGGATAGCCAGGGATACACAGAGAAATCCTGTCTTGAAAAGCCAAAAATAAGAATAAAAAATAAAAATTTTAGCAACAAATTTTTAAACAAAATTCATATTTTTAACAAGAAATATTTTTATGTTTACAAACATTAACCTTTCAATATTTGTTTTTCCTTTTGTAAGATCTCTGATAATTTTGTAAAATCTAAAACACATATTTGGGCCGGGCAGTGGTGGCGCACGCCTTTAATCCCAGCACTTGGGAGGCAGAGGCAGGCAATCTCTGTGAGTTTGAGATCAGGCTGGTCTACAAGAGCTAGTTCCAGGACAGCCTCCAAAGCTGCAGAGAAACCCTGTCTCAAAAAAAACCAAAACCAAAACCAAAAAAAGCTGGTGTGACCTGGCAGGTCGGTTCCTTTAAAAACTTGGGGGCTTGAAAGGGCAGACATGCTGGACCAAAGGCTTCAGTACTAGGTGCACACCATGATGCCACAGGAGACCAAGTTGCCCAACCAAGAAACGGTGGACTGATTGGTTTGTGTGTCAACTTGACACAAGCTGGAGTCATCATCAGAGGAAGGAGCCTCAGCTGAGGAAAGGCCTCCTTGAGATAGATCCAGTAGTAAGCCATTTTCTCATTTTGTGATCAATGAGGGACGGGGAAGGGGAGATGGGGGGGCGGGGAGGCCCCAGAGGGAGGGAAGGGCCCAATGCATCATCGGTGGTGCTGGACTGTTGGTCCTGGGTTCTATGAGAAGGTGTGCCTTTAATCCCAGCACTTAGGAGGCAGAGGCAGGTGGATCTCTGTGAGTTATAGGCCAGTCTGGTCTACAGAGTGAGTTCTAGGATAGCCAGGCCTGTTTCACAGGGAAACCCTGTCTGGGGGGGGGGGGGGGAAGGAGGTGGGCTGAGCCAGCTCTGGGTAGTAAGCCAGTACACAGCTCCCCTCCATCAACTCCTACTTCCAGGATCCTGCCCTGCTTGAGTTTCTATTCTGACTTCCTTTAGTGATGGACAGCAATGCTGAAGTGTACGCCAAACAAACCCTTTCCTCCCCAACTTGCTCTTTGGTCCTGCTGTTTTGTCGCCGCAGTAGAAACCCTGACCAAGACAGCGAGTGTTCTGAATGGGACATAGGCAAGAGCTGGCCCAGCCACACTCAGAGCTCAATGTGTGTGCTGAATGCATGTGTTAGAGGAAGTAGCTACTGTGGCTTTGTTGGGAACGGATATCAAAAGGTTAGATTGAAGAAAACACTTTATTTCCATACGGTGCTGGGGCGGGGTAAGGACTATGCAGGGACATTGGTCCCCACTCTACAGTTGCTGGGACGGCCTGAGGATGTAGAGAAAGTGTGTCTTTCGTACAGGCAGCTTGGCGTGTTGGGGGATACGGACCTCTTCCTCGAGGTTGTCCTCATGCGCACCTCCACGAAGCCCATCCCGGATGGCCTGCAAGCGATGTCGCTTTTCTATGAGCCAGCGGCTCCCATCCTGGACATCTGGCTGGGTCCTCCGCCTTGGCATCTTCATGATCCAGAAAGCCACCCGCCGGGGCTCTGGGTGAAAATTATCTATGGCCTTCTGCACAGGCACCAGGGTATCTCCTTCCTCCACTTTGGGCACCTAGGAATAAGGCACGGGGACATGCTGGTCAAATGCCACACATCCAAGGAGCTGGACCGCCTCAACCTGCATTTCAGCTCACTGGGTGCTTTTCGGTTAAAAAGCCCTTTTTGGGACGATAGTTCTGTTTTCTGTCTGGCCAGCTGCATTCTTTGTGGAATACGTTTGGTTTTATTATTTATTATTTACTTATTTTTTGAAAGATTTATTTATTTTTATTTGAATTAGTGCTTTGCCTTTATGTATGTCTGTGTAAGGACGCCAGATTCCCGGAATTGGAGTTACAGTTGTGAACTGCCATGTGGGTGCTGGGAGCTTCACAGGCACGCCCCCCTCCCCCCCAGGCAGTAGTAAGCTAACAGGCACCCGTCTTGCCAGAAGTCATCAGTTTTCCTGGGTCTGTGAAACGCATGCTTGGTATCATTGCTATTACCTAAAGAATTGTAAATTGTGTCTGGTGGAAGCCTTGTGGGGAGCAAACCCCTTTTTTCGAAGAATAAAGAGACATGAGGAGGAGATGGGTCTGAGCTGATTTGTTCACTCTCAGTTTTCCCGTGCTGTTCTGAACCCTGAGGGTGCTGAGGCTGATCTCAAAGGCCCCAATAATATGGGGTCCTTGAATGTTAACTATGTGTTCCACTTGCATGCATCAGCAGTGCTCTTGCGGAGAATGTGAGCTGGGGTCCCAGCACCCGTGGAGGAACCTCGCAAGCTCATCAGACTCACCTGATGCCCTCTCTGACCTGTCAATTTTTTTTTTTTTTTGAGAAAGGATTTTTTTGTTTAATAGTCCTAGCTATCCTGGAACTCACTCTCGTAGACCAGGCTGGCCTCTAACTCAGTGAACTCAGAGATCCACCTGCTTCTGCCTCCTGAGTGCTGGGCTTAAAGACGTGCACCACTACTGCTGGCCTAAATATCTATATCTATAGATATCTATCTATATAATTTATTTTATTTTTTATTTTTTATTTTTTTTACAGGTTTATCTTTTTATTAGCCATGGTAGCAAAACGCCTAGTCAAAAAGACCAAAGCCCATGTCGTCATCAGACTCCTCGGATTCTTCCTTCTTTGCTTCCACTTTCTTCTCCTCAGCTGGGGCAGCAGCGGTGGAGGGGGCAGGACCGCCTGCTGGTGCGGCTCCGGCTGCTGGAGCAGGCCCACCAGCTCCTACATTGCAGATGAGGCTCCCAATGTTGACATTGGCCAGGGCCTTTGCAAACAAGCCAGGCCAGAAAGGCTCAACATTGACACCAGCTGCTTTAATGAGGGCATTGATCTTATCCTCCGTAACCGTCACCTCGTCGTCGTGAAGGATGAGGGCGGAGTAAATGCAGGCGAGCTCAGAGACGGAGGCCATGTTGCGGACTGCCGGCACGGTGCTAGTCGCCGGATGAAGTGAGGGCCTCACCCCAATGCGGCCTTAGCTTCCTCGGAAGGACCGAGCACCTTGGCGGCAGCAGAGGAAAAGGTCAATTTATTTTATTTTTTATGAGGGTGTTAGGTCCCTTGGAACTGGATTTACAGTTGTGAGCTGCCTTGTGGATCCTCTGGAAAAACAGAGAGTGCTCTTTTTTTTTTTTTTAAAGATTTATTTATTATGTATACAATATCTCCTCCATGCATGCTTGCATGCCAGAAGAGGGTGCCAGATCTCATTACAGATGTCTGTAAGCCACCATGTGGTTGCTGGGAATTGAACTCAGGACCTCTGGAAGAGCAGTCAGTGCTCTTAACCTCTGAGCCATCTCTCCAGCCCACAGCGAGTGTTCTTAACCAAATGTATTAGCTGGGTGTTGGTGGCACACACCTTTGATCCTAGCACTCAGGAGGCAGAAGTAGCAGCGAAATTTCTGTGAGTTCAAGACTAGCCTACTCTACAGAGTAAGTTCCAGGCCAGCCAGGGTTACATAGGAAAAAAACTTATATCAAAAAACCAAAACCAAACCCAGAACAAACAAAAAAGAAAGCATTAAGTTTGAACCCCAACATTTGGGAGGTAGAGGCATAAATATTGGGTCACCCTAAATCAAACATCTTAAACTATGCCAGGCGTGGTGGCACATGTCTTTAAACCCAGCATCTAGGAGGCAGAGGTAGGTGGATCTCAGAGTTAAAGGTCAGCTTGCAATACAAAGCAAGTTCCAGGACAGCTAGGGCTATGACATAGAGAGATCCTGTCTCAAAAAAACCAAAACCGAAAACCAAACCAAAATAACATAAAACACAAAAACAAACATGGCATGTCACCATTCCTGGTTGTCTATACCAAATTTCTCTTTCTGAAATCACCCTAACCTCATCTGGGCTTAATGGTGCAAGTTCAGGGCTAGCGTAGGCTACAGAGTGAGACCTGTCTCAAAAAAAGGCTCCGTCAGTGAAGTGCTTGTGCCCAGCTCTGAGAACTCGAGTTCAGTCTCCAGCGTTCACGGAGGAGCCAGGGGCAGCACATGCTGGTAATGGCCACACTTGGTTGGGAGGGCAGAGGCTGGAGGATCCCTGGGGTTCCTGCCAGTCAGCTTGACTGGATGAATGAGCTTTAGATTCAGTGAGAAACTCTGTCCCCCCAAAATAAGATAGAGGCCTATTGTGTCCCACACCTTCAATCCCAGCACTCAGGCAAAAGCAGGGAGTGGGGGGCAATCCCAGTGAGTTCAAGGCCATCCAGCTACATAATGAGACCCTATCTCAAAAACAATAAAAATAAAAACAAGTAGGTAGAGAGTGATTGCCCTACTTGGGCATCCCCTGTGTGGGCACAGATAGACACACAAATCCCAAACTAAACCAAAATAAACAAAAAATCTCTGAGATGTGCCCTGTACTACTGCAATTGCTGGACTTTTCAAAGACTGAAGTTCACAAAGCCATTGGAGATGCTAAAACTCTCTGAGAAGATCAAAACACTTTCTGAAGTTTACAAGTAGACTTTTTGGGTTTGTTTTGAGACAGGGTCCTGATATGTAGCCCAGGCTGGCCTGCCACTTGCTTTATAGATCAGGCTGGCCTCCAACTCACAGAGATCCTCTTGTCTCTGGCCTGAAATTGTGGCAATCCTCCTGTCTCAGTCTTTCAAGCACTGGGATCGTCTATGTTTACAGCCGCACCTATTGACCTGCCCTTCTGACACAGACACACTGAAATTTGGAGGATATTCCATGTACAGAGTATGCACTGGCTAATCTTAAATACCAACTTGCCACAGCCTAGTATCACCTGGGAAGAGGCCCTGAATGGGAAATGAACTAGGTCAAGGTTGTTAATGGATGTGGGAAGACCAATCCCTCGTGGGCAGCACCACTCCTTAGATCCTGAACCACCTAAGACAGGCAAAGCAAGTAAAGATGTGTTTTTTTCTCTCTTTACCCTTGACAGTAGGAATGGCTGATGTCATGAGTTCCCCTAAGGATGGGTTGTGAACCAGACAAACCCATTCCTTCCCCACGCTGCTTTTGGCTAACATAGTTTATGACAGCAACAGAAGGGGAACTGGAACAGTGTGGCACTGAGTTGAGTTGGACTTTCTCAACTAAAGAAAAATGCTGATTCCTGGGGCAAGGGAGGTCCTTACCTTCCAGTCGCCTTCTGTGCTCCCCTCTGGCTCAATGGAGGCCACCACCTTCTCAGAGACAACCACCTCCCCTGTCCTGTTGTCAGTCATCTGTGAGGGTGATACGGGAGAATCAGAACACACCTGCTTTCCTCTCTCTTGTCAGGAAAGCAGCACCATGGGTGGTGGAGAGGCACCTTGTCTATCTGCAGATGGCTGGAGAGGGTATGGTTCCCCATTCTGTGCTCTTGATTCTCTTCCTGATGGAAGTTCTTGGGAAGGTCCCGGAAGTCCATGGGGGAGGAGAAGAAGTTGTCCAGGTCTCGTAGCAGGTCATCCTAGGGTCAGAGAAAAACAGTGTGTACGCCTGCTGCACATCCAGGGTGTCCCTTTCCCCTCGATCCTCTGGTCCCCAGAGCCGCTTGCCACAATATTCATCTGTCTTTCTGTCCCAGTGCCTTGCTGTCTGGCTACCACCTCTCCTCTTTTTTTCACCTCTTACCCCATACATAGGCAAGCTTGGCACCCCTGACTGGGGGGGCTCCACCTCTCAGCCACTACAACCCCAGCCCTCTTCTATGTATTTATTTTGACTGGGTCTCACTATGTAGGTCTGACTGACCTGGAACTCAGTATGCAGACCAGACTGGTTTCAAATTCACAGACAGTGTCCTGACTTTACCTCCCAAGTGCATGGGTAACCAGGTCTGGCTCTTTTTATTTTTTGAAACACAGTTTGATTTAAGTTGCCTAGGTTGACCTTGAACTTTTTTTTTCGAGTGAGCCAAGGACCTGCTGCCTGGGATGCTGGGCTTTCCTTGGCCACGCCCAGTTTCTCTTCCTATTTTTGTGCTGCCGGTTCCCCATCACCTGTCTGTTCAACCTTATAATCCTGCTTTTCCTTGAGATAAAGTCTCATGTATCCTAGGCTGGTCTCAAACTTTCTGTGTAGGAGAAGGTGGTTTTGGACTCTTGTTCCTTCTGCCTCCCCCTCCTGAGTGCCTGGCAATCAAGCCCAGGCTGCATGCATGCTAGACAATCATTCTGCCTTCGGAGACACGATTCCAGACCTCTGTGTTCCGTTGACTCCTTTTCTTATCTCCTGCCTGGCCCATCTCTCTCTGTCCCCCAAGCCTTGCCATTACTCACTTTTAGAAACAGTCGACTGAAGCTTTGGAGAAGACTTTGAAGGCCCAGAAACCCGGAGGAGTTCTCCTGAGCGACGGCATCATGGATCGGGACAGCAAAAGAGGACACGAAGGCTGAGGGGAGCAGCAGCAGCAGAACCCCCAGTCGACACATTGCGGGTGGTAGGCTGTAACAAGGGCAGTTTCAGCCTCTGTGGCCCCTTCCCAGGCCCGGGTCTCTGGGAAGCTCCCGCCCGCCCACCTGCCCAGCGTCTCTCGGCTCTTGTTTGCACTCTCCATTTCGGGCACAGTTCATTCGGGTTCGACCACACTCAGACCCGGTTCCTCACCTTTGCCTACATCCGCTCCTTCTCCTGGACACAGTTCGGCCACCCGGCTCCGGACACCGCCGGACCGGGACAGTTAATATCCAGTTTTGGCCTCGAGCCTGGGCAGATTACTGAAGGGTTCGTTGGGTGCCACCACTCCGCGAGACTGGCCACGCCCCAATTGTCTGACCACGCCCACCCCGCGACCACCGTAGTATCACCATTACGGCACCACCGAATCCATACCTCTATTGTTCATTAATCACACATCTCTCCCCTCCTCTCTCTTTTTGGTTTTTCGAGACAGGGTTTCTCTGTGAAACGGTTATGGCTATCCTGGAACTCTCTTTGTAGACAGGCTGGCCTCGAACTCACAGAGATCCACCAGCATATCTTCCTAAACTCTGATCTCTAAAATACACGCCTGTCACGTCCCTTAAGGCACAGCCTTTTGTCTCTCTGCCTCCGACCCCGCTGATAACCTCATGGATGAGCCAGGCCTTCCTTCCGCGGTCCTGCCCCTGCATACAGAGTCATGCCTCCACTCTTCATTACTTTCCTTAAGTCAGATCAAGGCCCTGTTCTATAACCATGCTCCCACCAGATGATCTTACCCTCTATTATATTACCTGGCCTGGCCTCTGCGCCCCATCGGGTATTGGCCACGCCCCCGTCGCAGAGCCACGCCCTAAACACTGATCTCAGGCCTTGGAACCCTTAGTCCGCCCAGAGTTCTCTGCCTCCCCCTCCCGACTTTCCAATGGGAGTCAACCAACAATCACGGGTGGCCGCGCCCTTTAAGTCAGAGTACTGCTTCTGTATCCCAGAACTCCCTGGACCTCTGTTTATCCCATATTCGGGTCTAAGATCATTAATTTTATTTAGCAGAGTGTTAGCACATAGGAATGCCATGGTGCATATGTGGAGGTCAGAGGGCAACTTTGAAGAGTTGATTCTGGCCTCAGGTCGAACTTAGGTTTGACTGTAAATGCCTTCATTGCTAAGGGATTTGATTTACCCTCATTCATTGACTACCTCTGATCACTACCATAGATGTCTTCTCATTTTCCAGCTGATTTCATGTAAAAAGTACAACTATTTATTTATTTTTATTTTATTTTTTAAAAAGATTTATTTATTATGTATACAACATTCCTTCCATGTGTGTCTGCAGGCCAGAAGAGGGCACCAGATCTCATACAGATGGCTGTGAGCCACCATGTGGTTGCTGGGAATTGAACTCAGAACCTCTGGAAGAGCAGCCAGTGCTCTTAACCTCTGAGCCATCTCTCTAGCCCCCTTATTTATTTTTTTAAATATTTATTTATTTATTATGTATACAATATTCTGTCTGTGTGTATGTCTGCAGGCCAGAAGAGGGCACCAGACCTCATTACAGATGGTTGTGAGCCGCCATGTGGTTGCCAGAAATTGAACTCAGGACCTTTGGAAGAGCAGGCAATGCTCTTAACTACTGAGCCATCTCTCCAGCCCCCAAAGTCCAACTATTTTAAAAAAAAGCCTAATTACAGTCCTTTGTTATATTTTTTCCAAGAAAACCCCAAATTCCCGAACCCACAGAGCCCATATGCCAGCCACGCTTGGCTGTGAATTTGGAGACAACTATCCTGTCTTCTTCCATTTCTTTCTTTCTTTCTTTCTTTCTTTCTTTCTTTCTTTTTTTTTTTTTTTGATTTTTGAGACAGGGTTTCTCTGTAGCTTTTGGTGCCTGTCCTGGAACTAGCTCCTGTAGACCAGGCTGGCCTCGAACTCACGGAGATCAGCCTGCCTCTGCCTCCCGAGTGCTGGGATTAAAGGCGTGCGCCACCACCGCCCGGTTTCTTCCATTTTTTTCTCATTTCTTGCCTTTTAAATGTAGAAATAGGGTCTTATGCATCCTCGACTGGCCTTAAGCTGTGCAGTGCAACATGGCCTTGGATCTGTGTGTGCACCATAAGCAGGTGCGGAGATCAGGTGGCAACTTTCAGGACGCTGTTCTTCCCACCATCAAGTGGACAACGGTGGCGGTAGCCTTTTCCTTGAGTCACCTGTCCGTCTCACGACCGTGCTTTCTTTGTTGTTTTGGGGGTTCTGTTTGTCTATTTTCTTAGAGAAAGTCTGTAGTTCATCACACGGCTTAGCTCTTCATGAACAAGAGCATGAGTCATCCTGAGTCATCTGGGAAGAGGGAGCTTTGGTTAGAAAATGTCCCTATCAAACTGGCCTATAGGCAAGTCTGTAGCGCGGTCTGGATTAATGATCACATTGAAGGGCCCAGCCCACTGTGGGCGGTTCCATATCCCCCCCCCCCCCCCCGTTCCTAGGTGCTGTGAGCAAGCCATGGAGGGAGCCAGCCAGTGAGCAGCACTTCCTCACGGCCTCTGCTTCAGCTCCTGCCTCCAGGTTCTTGGTTTGACTTCCTGCTCTGACTTCCTTTCAAGATGAACTATAACTGTCATCTTAGATAAAACCATTACTCCCCAAGTTACTTTGATCATGGCAGTTTTCACAGCAGTAGAAAACAAACCAGGACATCCAGGCCAGCCTCAACCTCCCAAGCGCTGGGAATATAGATGAGTGGTGTCATTTTTACTTAGACTTTTATATTTAAAAGAGTAAGACCCAGGACCCTAACTCTTTGGCTCCCAGGCCCCCAGGCTCCGCCTCTATTCTGCGACAGGTACCACTTGCAGCCACTCGTGCCTGTGTAATGAGGAGTCTACACTTCCTTGGATCTTCAGGAACTCTGGGGGGTCCAGCCCAACAGGCTTGACTCTGGCTCACAGGGAAGCTGTGTCCTTCTCAGAAGTAAACAAACCCACCTCAACCCCCTACTTATCAAGCAGAAACAGGTTGGACCAGAGGCAGCTCCGGTGGAACGTCTGTCTAGCACACGTGAGACTCAGGGTTCTGAGTTTCATCTCCAGTTACACACGCATAAACAAACGCGCGCGCGCGCGACTGCAGAGATGGCCCAGTGGTTTAGAACACCGGCTGCTCTTCCAGAGGACCTGGATTTATTTGACTCACGCACACAGGTGGACCACAACTATCTGTAACTCCAGTTACAGGGGATCCAGTGCCCTCTTCTGGCCTCTGGCAGACATGTAGAAAAACGCTCATACAGAAATAAAATTTAAAAATCTAGAAACAGAATAAGAATAAAAACACATATAAAATTGGTAAAGATTATTTTGTTTCCTTGCCAATTCCACATCCTCAGCAAACACAAATTACAACGCAAACTCGGGCCCCCAGGCAGAAAGAGGGCGGCGTGCAATTCCCACGCGGTCCCAGAAACACGCTCCTCACCTTATCGCGCGGAACTTCCCACCCCAACTCACACACCCCAAGCAGAATCCCGATTCCCGCCGGTGTGACTTAGGTCGCGTCCCCACTCCATCAGAACTAGGAGTTGACTCTCTTCCCTCAACTCCCAACGTTCAATACCTTCTCCCCCAGACACCGGAGTCCATGTCCCAGCCCTCCTCCCTCAGACCCAGGGTCCAGATCCCAATACTCTTCTCTCAAAACCAGGGCTCCAAGACCCAGCCTCCTCCCTCACAGCCAGGAATCCAGACCCCCATAACTACCTCCTTTCCTAGAGACCCCAACTTCTGCACCCAGTGTTTAGATGGCCTCACACTCCCAAAGCAAACACCTTGCCGCGAGTGTCACGGTGGGATCCCGAGCCCGTTGCCGGGCCCGCCCCCCCCACCGCGGTCCCTCCCACTTTTCCCAAACAAAGCTCCCGGCAACTTTCTCCCTGTGTTGCCCCGCCCGCCCGCGGCTCCCCAGCCCAGGCCGGGAGGTAGGAAGGCGCCGGCGGGAATCGGGATTCTGCTTGGGGTGTGTGAGTTGGGGTGGGAAGTTCCGCGCGATGAGGTGAGGTGCGTGTTTCTGGGACCGCGTGGGAATTGCCCGCCGCCCTCTTTCTGCCTAGGGGCCCGAGTTTGCGTTGGGATACAGCCGTAGTGTGGCGCTGGAACTTTCTCGGAGTTAGGGGCCTGGGGATGGCCTGCGGCAGGAGGAGCGCGCGGGGTGGCCGGGGGGCTGCGGACACAGGACATGCAGCGAAGGGCCACAGCTCTCCTGTTGGTGCGAGGCGCGCGCCTCCCGGGCCATCCTTTCTGCAAGTGTCCGCCCTGTGGGCATGTGGCCCCCTCACGGAGCAGATCAGGCGCGGGGGTGGCTGGGCGAGAGCCACGAGGCCCCTTGTACCTACGTCCATGCTCTTCTGAGGCTTGGGGACCAGGGCACGACATTAGGGATGTCTGTCTTGCCAGGCTCGTTTGTCTCTTTGTCTGGCCACATGGAGGTGGGCTGGGTTGGGTCCTGAACGCTGCTACCACACTGGGCTGGGCCTGGGGGTGGTGGTGTCTTTGTTCGCTTAACCTTCACCAGGTAGAGAGTCCATAGGAGGGGATGGGACTCAGAACTTTGGGAGCCTGGGAAAGTTCTGGAAGACATGGAACCTCCAGGGAGGCGGTATCGGACAGTACGGGAAAAGTTTTCCCTGTTCCTGGCCTCCGGAAAGTCTACGGGAGCTTGGGTTGGAGCGGAGCCCAGGGGGAGGGGGCGGGCCGTGGAGGCTGCTTGCACGCAGGCCCCGCCCACAGCGGGGGTTATGGGGACTGGGGGAGGGGATGCCTGGGCTCTTTGTTCTGGCCTCCAGATGGCTGGACTACTGAGTGCCAATGCCTGAGGCTTGATGGGCGCCCTAGCTCAAGCCCCACCTGGTTCTGTGGTTACTTTCTGGTCTCAGCCAGAAAGCCATGACGATGCTCCTGTCTCTGTGCCTATCTGGGTCTCTGTCCCTGGGTCTCTGCTCCACCCTCTCGCTGGATCTTGGACTCAGCCTCTCCTTTTCCTGCAGCTGCTGCTCCTGTCTTAGCACCCGTTCCTTCTTAGTGGAACTGGAGGTTTTCACTCCTGGCAACTAATCAGACTCAGGTCTTCCCTAAAATCGGAGATCCGGACGCAGCCTTAGTCTACATGGTCTCAGGCACCGCTCTGAAATGGTCAGGTGACTTCAACCCAATGCAAGTTCCTCGGGAGAACAGCCCCCCAGGTGCCAGGCTTAGGTTTCTCTCCTCCCTCAGACCCAGGGGTCGAGGCTTCAACTCAGAGGTCCAGGCCTAACTTCCCCAGTCAG